CCAAACATGCGTATCTGTACTAATTCTTCAATACAGATCAGTTTCTAATCCCGAGATACAGGCTTCTAACTACATACATTCGCCTCTACAAAATCTTTATTCTGTATGAGTTCGTTTTTACATAAATACTAGTTTACTAAACCGCTGCCAAACATGCGTATCTGTACTAATATTACTTTACTGAAGATATAGAATGTTCAACTATAAACCTATACCAGTTTTTAACTAATCTGTTTCATGATAACCACTTAAAATTCAACCTGTACCTATCACGAACTCTTGTAAAACCCCATCTATTGAAAGTGTCGAAAACATTTTAAGTCAGTCATAGTCCTATAAATAGAAACTTGAAAGCCAATTAGCAAATCAAGCAATTTAAAATAATTAACCATTAAAACAAGTTTGACGAAATTATGTACAATTATTCTAATCATTTGTTTGTTTTTGAATTTCGCACAAAGCTACACGAGGGCTATCTGCGCTAGCCGTCTCTAATTTAACAGTGTAAGACTAGAGGGAAGGCAGCTAATCATCACCACCCACCGCCAACTCTTGGGCTACTTTTTTACCGACGAATAGTGGGATTGACCGTCACATTATAACGCTCCTACGGCTGAAAGAGCAAGCATGTTTGGTGTGACGGGGATTCGAACCCGCGACTCTCAGATTGCGAGTCGAGCACCCTAACCACCTGGCCATGCCGAGCCAGCAAGGCTAATAAAGCATAGTCTACGCGGGCTTCAGCTGAGAGTTAAGAAGTTTCAAGCATAACGAGTTAATGTTACTTAAAATCTAGTACCACAAACAGACAGTAAAATCGCGAAAGTAAAAAACAGGAGCAAAGGATAAAACGAAAGAATAGTAGTCTGGCTCTATTCGTGGAACTTATTGCCTTAATCAGTTCCAAATGCCGACGACTCGGGTACCTGATGGAGTTTAACACAACAATCTGTAACGATGGATTAAATGAGACAGAGTAAAGTCAATTAGATAAGCTTGTATTTAGATGTATAACTTTCCTGCAAATCTGACACTACTATTCCAAGTTAATTACAATTTTGTATATTTGAGAAATGTATATAGCTTGTGTAATATAAATATATACACCAACTTGTTTCATGACTCTATTGCAAATCAGATCAGTTAATGTCAGAGCGATTCTCAACAATAATAAACATTCACATTCGATGACGAGGAACCCACTTTGAGACTAATAATGGCTGGAGACGGCTTGAATGGGTAATTAAGAAAAACTTTAATATAAGTTTAACATAACAGCAAATGTACAACGTTTCGACAAGGTTTTGTCATCATATTAAAGTTTTCTTCATTACCCATTCAAGCCGTCTCCAGCCATTATTAAACATTCACATTGTAATTGCACATTATTACACATTGTAGTTGTATATCGTTATTACACATTATAGTTGTATATCGTTATTACACATTATAGTTGTATCCCATTATTACACATTGTGATTGTATACCATTATAATACTTCATGTATTTACTGGAAAATCGTGACACTTCTATTAGGTTGTATATTTATTGTGAATTTTCTTTCCTTACCAAAACATGAATTTCAGTGAAGACAGAATGTCGTGAATTGTGATTGTGAAACCCCATACTATTGTAAAGCCTTCTTACAACTGTTATATTGACGTGAGTAAATTTAATACTTTCGAGTCGATCCATTTTTACTAAGCTCACATCAGCATGGTCTCATTAAAAGTAATCCATTCTTACTGTGCTTATACCGACATGCACACCCTGAGTTATAGCCCAATACAGAAACGAGCTTTTGTTTGCATCACAGAAGTAGAATTTATGTTGATATGAGTAAGCCTTAGTCAAAGAGGGCAGAAATGATTTGATCGTTGTTCTCATTTGCATGCTTATTTAAGCATAATTTCAAAGAATGTAGTACCTATTGTGTTTTGAAATCGGTCACACCTACGTTCCTATCCCTTATATCTTACGACATTGCCGAGAACTTATAACGGTTTGCGGGTTTTCTGGTTTTACTAAATATTCTTTTTCAATTGTCCTCCGGTGAAACAGCGG